AAATTTAAATATTCTCATGGCTTGTTCTTCCTGACCAGCGAGACCTCCCTAACATATATGTCAACTTTGGTCAAAAGTCACTGACTCTCAGGGAAGAATTAGAAAAAGGCATTATTTCCTCTAAACTCACACTGTCCTTCACTTAAGCACACAGCTTAGTGGCTGAGCATAGTCTGAACTCCAGCATTCACGTCTCCCTCAGGTGCCTTTGTGTAGAGCACAAACCACATGACCAATCCTGGCAACCCTGCTGACCACAAGACCATCCTCTCCAATTTATTTCATCAAAATGACACCTTCTAAATGTAAAATGCTAACTAAGAATTTACTTCTTTTCTTGAAGTGAATTGAAAGAAAAAAATATTCTTAAGGAAGTCCCATACACAAACTGACAACTATCCTCTTTATACCTCAAGGGGAAAAAATCATAAATAGAATTTTAATATATATCTTATACAGTTATGAATATCTTCTTTTAGTGCAATGAAGCCAGTCTAAGTTGTTTTGACTCATTGGAATTTACTTAAATTTTCTTTATAGTCCACAATGTTTTGAATATGTTCCATGACTCTTCAAAAGAAGGCATGTTCTCTGCTTAGAGGGTAGAGAGTTTGAAGGATTTCTACTTCATAACAGTATATGTATCCTTTTATTATATATTACCCATATTATATTCATGATCTATATTTCTACTAATCCCTCTGATTATTATCTAGGAGATTAGTATAATCCCATGATGGCCAAGAGGAAATCTCATGTATGTTTTTATATCCCAGCAGACTACTTGGAACATACCCATCAAAACTCACTGCCATTGAGTAGATTCTAACACCAAGTCACCCTATGTTGTTGTTAGGTGCCATAGAATTGGTATCAAGTCACAGTGAGAACAAAACATTATGCCAAAAATCACAATAGTTGCTATGCCTGAGCCTATCATTGCTGCCACTGTGCTGATCCACCTTGTTGGGGGTCTCCCTTTTTCTCTGACCCACACCACCACCGCTTTACCAAACATGATATCCTTCTCCAGTGACTGGTCCCTCCTGACAGTACGTTCGAAGTATGAGAGACAAAGTCTGGCCATCCCGGATTCCAAGGAGCACTCTGGCTGCACTTCTTCCAACACAGTCCATTTTGGCAGTCTATGGTATTTTCAATATTCTCCTCCAACATCATAACTCAAATGCATCAATTCTTCTAGTCTTCCTTATTCACTGTCCAACTTTCACATGCATATAAGGTGATTGATGAGGTTATAGCCACCCTATAGGAAAGAACAAAACTGCTCCCTAGGGTTTCTGAGAGTAAATCTTTACACCAGCAGACAGTTTCATCTTTCTCCCTTGGAACAGGGGGTGGGTACATACAAACCAAACCAAATCCATCGCCATTGAGTGGATGCTGACCCATAGCAATCCTATATAGGGTTTCCAAGACTGTAAACCTATATGAGAGCAGATTGCCTCTACTTTTTTCTGCTTTCTCTTCTTTCTACTTCTACGTTCTCTACTTTGGTAAGTTTGAACCATAGACCTTTTGGTTAGCAGCAAAATGTCTAACCAACAGTGCCACCATGAATGAGGTTTCACTGATGGATACATGTTGCTGTTGTTGTTGTTAAGTGCCATCAAGTTGCTTCTGACTCATAGCAACCCTGTAAAGGGTTTCTGAGAAGCGGCTAGTGAGTTTGAATTGCCAATCTAGCAGTTCAAACCGACCTTGCAGTCCAGTGCATTATCCTGCAGCACCACACCAAAACTCCAATGAATACATTGTTGTTGTTAAGTGCAGTCGAGTTGGTTCCAACTCATAGCGATCCTGTAGAGGTTTCTGAGGAGTGAATGGTGAGTTTGAACTGCCAACCTTGTGGTTCACAGTCCAGTGCTGATCCCATAGTGCCACACCAGGAGTCAATATTGCAAGTTGAGGCTTGAATTTTTCCTTCAGTTCTTTCAGCTTGAGAAATGCTGAGCATGTTATTCTCTTTTGGCTTTCTAACTCCAGGTCTTTGCACTTTTCATTATAATACTTGACTTTGTCTCTTAGCTGCCCTTTGAAATTTTCTGTTCAGCTCTTTTACCTCCTCATTTCTTCCATTTGCTTTAACATCTATGCTGGAGAACAAGTTTCAGAATCTTTTCTGACATACATTTTGGTCTTTCCCTTTTTTCCTGTCTTCTTAATGACCTTTTGCTTTCCTCCTGTATGATGTTCTTGATGTCATCCTACAACTCTTCTGATCTTTGCTCATTAGTGTCTAATGTATCAAATATGTTCTTGAGACGATTATCCACCAGTTGGGCTGTGTTCAGAAGCAAACACAGGATGATGAAGGTCTAGGAACCACATGACAACCATTGAAGAAAACTTTGAAGGAAGGATATTGGGAGAAGCTGAGTACTTCATTTAAATGCTATGAGGTTTTCCATCTTGAAGATTTTCTGTGTAACTTCAATGAGTATAACTTAAACCAGGGAGTGAAAGTATCCGAGAAAAAAATGGACTGATTTTTCTAATGTAAGATTATCTTTGTTTTCTTAACAAAAAAGTAATGCCTCTTCATTATAGTGTATCTGAAAAATAGCAAAGAGCAAAAGTAAATTTTAAAAAATGTAATCACCCAGAGAGAAACTACTTCAACGTTTTAATTAAGTTCTTTAAGTCTTTGCTTTTCTGTGTTCATATTTTAAAAGCCTATAATACCAAACCACCACTCATCTGTCAATTTGTCGTACTGTGGTGGCTTACATGTTACTGTGATGCTGGAAGATATGCCACTGGTATTTTAAATATCAGTAGGATCACCCATGGTGGACAGGTTTCAGCTGAGTTTCCAGACTAAAACAGACGAGGAAGAAGGAGAAGTGAACTACTTTTGAATGTTTAGCCACTTAAAACCTTATAAATAGCAATGGAACAATGGCAGAGAATCTCAGAATATTCAATATTGAAGCACTATGAATAGCACCAGAAAATTATTATATATAGTGTTGGAATCTGAGCCCCTCAGGCTGGAAGGCACTCAAAATACAACAGGGGACAAGCTACTTCATCAAAATAGAGTTGACCATGATGACCATGAAGTAAAGTTTCTGTAACCTTCATTTGCTGATGAGGCACCACTCAGAATGAGGAAAAACAGCTGTAACCATCCATTAAACACAGAAAGATCCTAGGCATTCGTGAGCTGAAATGGACTGGCATTGGCCATTTTAAATCTGACATCATGTGGTTTGCTATGCCAGAAATGACAAATTGAAGAGGAATGGCATCACATTCATCATCAAAAAGAACATTTCAAGAGGCTGCCATGGTGTGACTCAAGCACAAGTACCTGCTGTACCAACTGGTGTCCAACAACCCCCACTGCCACCTGAGCCTTGAGGACCAAGTGCTGGATGACCTCGTGCAGGACACAATCACTCAGATGCACAGGACATTCAGTGCGGCCGCCTGCTCCATCAGATTCACTGTAAAATACCTCAATGCCTATACTGGAGTAGTGCTGCTTCGATGCCTGAAAGACTTCTACCAGCTTGTCTGGTCAGCTCTTCCCTTCATCACCTACTTGGAGGACAAAGGGCATCGCTACCCTTGTTTTCTCAACACCTTGCACATGGGAGGTACAATTAGAACCTTCCAGAAGTTCCTGATTCAGTACAACAGTACAACCTTCCAGAAGTTCCTGATTCAGTACAACAGGAGACAGCTGTTGATCTTATTGCAGAACTGCCCTGATGAAGGGGAATGGGAGGTTATCCAGAAGTCTGTCACAAGAAGCTGTTTACTAGAGGAGGAGCCAGGTGAGGAGGAGCTTTCAGGCAGTGGCAATGAGGAGGTTGCTTTGGAATGAACCTCTGCTCACCACCACCCTGCAGTAGGGGAGGGGACATCAGCAGAATGCTACTTCCTGACCACTGCTCTGTACCAGCTTACTCCTGGGAACCCAACTTTCCAGAAGATGCAACATCTTCAACAACCATAGGACGAGTTACCAGCTCAAGATGGAGAACTGGCTTAAAATACACTTAAAGTCTCCTTTGTCCTAGCAGCCTCACCTTTTCCAGAGATCAGGTCTGCCCCACATCTGGTGAGCATCTTTCTATTTCATTGTCTGACACAAGAGATGGGGTTTTATAGTTAACTTATAAAATCCACTTGTGGAATTAAAGTCTGGCCAAGTCTCTTCTCCCCTCTTTCCATGGGTCTTCGTGGGAAGATTGGTCCCATTTGATACTCAATGAAGTTTTAACATTTGGCCTTTCACTTGAGGTCTTGTACTTCCAAGTCCCAATGGTGGCTCCCAAGCAGACCATTTGGAGTAGAAGTATTCATTCTTTTCTCAACGGAAAAAACAAAACATCAACTGATCTCTGCTACAAATCAAGTAAGCAGCTGCTGACTTCTGGTCATTTTCGCATTTCTGACCCATGTCTGCTTTCCACCCAAAGAGAGAAGAGAATGCCACATTCCATGTACACGAATTAGGAAGGGTTAGAGACCTCAAGTATAGTCTGTTGCATACTAATGGCATCTCTGGGATTTGTCGTCTTCAAAATCAAATGGGTATCACTCCGAGTCCTTTACACGCTCAATGTAAAACAGGATTTTTATGTCCGTGTGCTCTGTCATCTCAGAACCAGACCATCCTCATTCCCCTAAGAGAGTTCCTGACCTAGCATTTCTGAGCTGCTTCATTTTAACGTCAACCAGGTAGGGCTTTGAGGCCTGAACCAGGAGACAATTCTGCCATGACAGCATGACTGCTCGGGCTCCTCAGTCCGCATTTAGCGATGAGTGTAACAAGTAATGTATCTACCTGACCTGTAATGAACTTAAAAAAAACAAAAAACTCACATTGCTTGTGCAGGTGATTTATTACAATTATCAACCTTCACATTCTAGTACATCTAGAGATCACTTTATCAAGCAGCAAAAGAATCCACATTGCTCAAATGTACCTCCAACCAAGAGATAAAAAGACTGCACTGGACACCATGAAGGTGGTGGGTATCCCTGCTGGGCTGGAGGCAGTCCACCCTCCTCTGCCTCTGGATGCTGAGGACTTCTGCTCCTCCTCCAACTCCAGCCACTGGCACCTGAAACAGGCTGGCAGGTCCCATGGCTTCCTTAGTCTGTGATAGTTACAGCTTTCCTTCCTGGACGCTCAACCAGGCCAAGTTCAAGAGGAAAATCCACTCCTCTCTCTCACATGTTCAAGAGCCAACAGCAGCCAACCTATTCCTTGAAACTGGCAAGCATGGTCTGGGACCAGTCTGGCCATTTGTCAGAGGAAAAACTGCAATTCAGCTGGGGTCCTAAATCCATTTTATTCCCATCCCCTTGTTTCTTTAACGAGAGAACTGAACACGTAGAAAAGACGTTAACTGTCCAAAAGACACATTGATAGGTGTGCTGAAACCACAGTACCCCAACCCAAGATGTCAAAGCAGAGCAGTGCTGTCACATCTGTCAATCCTCTTATTTTGGTGTAAAGATGGGAAGTTGGAAAATATGCTGTATTTAAAATTTTCAAAAAAGAACATTTCAAGATTTGTCTTGAAGTCTAATGCTCTCTGTGATAGGATAATATACATATACCTACAATAAAGACCAGTTAATACCATTATTATTCAAATTTACGTACCAACCACTAAAGACAGTGATGATGAATAAAGAATTCTACCAATTTCTTTAGTATAAAATTGAGCAAACATGTAATCAAGATGTATTGATAATAACTGGTGATTAGAATGCAAAGGTTGGAAACAAAGAAGAATGATCAGTAGTTGAACAGTATGATCTTGGTGATAGAAACAGTGCTCTGGAGATGGCAAGATTTAATTTGTTAAGACCAATGACTTATTCATTGCAAATACCATTTTTAAACAACATAACACATGCATCTCACCAGATGGCATACACAGAAATCAAATTTACTACATATGATATGTGGTAAGAGATGGCAGGAAAGTTCAATGACATCAGCCAAAACAAAGTCAGGGGCAAACTGTAAAACAGACCATCAATTACTCATATGCAAGTTCAAGGTGAAGATGAGGAAAATAAAAATCAGACCATGAGAGCCTAAATATGACCTTGAATATATTTCACCTGAGTTTAGAAATCATCTCAAGAACAGATTTGATGCATTAAATACTAAAGACCAGAGGAGTTGTGGGATGACATCAAGAACATCATACAGGAAGAAAGCAAAAGGTCATTAAGAAGACAAGAAAGAAATAAAAGACCAAAATGGATGTCAGAAGAGACTCTGAAACTTGCTCTCTGGCATAGAGATTCTAAGGCAAATAGAAAAATGAGGAAGTAAAAGAGCTGAACAGAAAATTTCAAAGGGCAGCTGAGAAGACAAAGTCGAGTTCATGATGAAATGTGCAAAGATCTAGAATTAGAAAACCAAAAGAGAAGAACGTTCTTGGCATTTCTCAAGCTGAAGGAACTGAAGGAAAAATTCAAGCCTCGAGTGGAAATATTGAATGATTCTATGGGCAAATTTTTAAATTTTACAGCAAGCATCAAAAGAAGATGGAAGGGGAGACAATTTTTTTGAATAAAAAAAAAAGAAGATGGAAGGAATACAGAGAGTCATTTGTACCAAAAGAAAATTGTTGAGGTTCAAATATTTCAAGAGGTTGCACAAGATCAAGAGCCAATGGTATTGAAGGAAGACGTCTAAGGTTTACTGGAGGCATTTGCAAAGAACAATGCTTTAGGGATTGATGGAATACAAATTAAAATCTTTCAACAAACTGATGCAGCACTGGAGGCTATCACTCATCTATGCCAAGAAATTTGGAAGACATCTACTCGGCCAACTGATTGGAAAAGATCCATATTTGTGCCCATTCCAAAAAGAGATGACCCAGTGAAATGTGGAAATCATTGGACAATATCATTAATATCGCATGCAAATAAAATTTTGCTGAAGTTCCTTCAAAAACAGCTGCAACAGTACATTGGCAGGGAACTGCCAGAGGCTCAAGTTGGATTCGGACAAGGATGTGAAATAAGGGTTATCATTGATGATGTCAGATGGATCTTGGCTGAAAGAAAGCAATACCAGAAAGATGTTTACCTGTGCTTTATTGATTATGCAAAGACTTTTGACTACATGGATCATGACAAGTTATGGACAACACTTCAGAGAATGAGTATTCTGGAACACTTCATTGTGCTCATGGGGAACCGTACATAGACCAAGAGATAGACATTGGAACAGAAAAAGGAACACTGAATGGTTTAAAATTAGGAAAGGTATGTGCCAGTGTTGTATTCTTTCACCATACTTATTCAATATATACGCTAAGCAAATAATCCAAGAAGCTGGAGTATATGAAGAATTGGAGGACGACTCATTAACAACCTGCAATATGCAGATGATATAACCTTGTTTGCTGTAAATAAAGAGGACTTAAAATACTTGCTGATGAAGATCAAAGACATCAGTTTGGGTTGCTCCTCAATGTAAAGTAAACAAAAATTCTCACCAATGGACCAACAAATAACATCATGATAAATGGAAAAAAGATTGACGTCAAAGGCTTCATTTTGCTTGGATCCATTATCAACACTCATGGAAGCAGCAGTCAAGAAACCAAACAACATATTACATTAGGCACATCTGTTATACAAGACCTCTTTAAAGGGTTCAAGAGCAAAACTGTCAGTTGGTGCCTAATCCAAGTCATAGTATTTTAAATAGCTTCATATGGTTGTAGAAGTTAGACAGTGAAGGAAGACTGTATAAGAATTGGTGCATTTCTATCATGGTGTTGGAGGAGAATATTAAAAGTACCATAGATTGCCAGAAGAACAAACAAATCTACATTGGAAGAACTCTACCCAGTATACTCCCTAGAAGCCATACTTTGAAGATAATATCCGAAGGAACCAGTCCCTGGAGAAGGACATCATGCTAAGTAAAGTGGAAGTTCAGTCAAAAAGAGGAAGAACCCCCAATGAGATGGATTGGCACAGTGGCAACAACAATGAGTTAAAGAATAATAACACTTGTGAGGATGGCAGAGTTTTGTTCTGTTGTGCATAAGGTCGCTCTGAGTCATACCGACTTGATAGCACATAACAATAGCAACTATGCAGCCTGTAATAGCACAGGCATTTTTGGTGCCCGGAACACTAATAACTCATATGGAGTTTACTGAAATTTCTGTCTTGTTCCTCCATTCATTTCCAGTCTGTGTTTATGCAAATGGGTTAACCAAGGGAACACCTATAAACAATTACCTCCTCTGTGTTTTTTCTGCCCTTTACTTCAACAGGCGCCAGACAATGGACCTTAGGAACAGCAGCACAGTGACATACTTTATCCTCATGGGCTTCGGACACAGTTCCCCTTCCACTCAGGCATTGCTGTTTGCTCTCTTCGTAGCCCTCTACAGTCTGGCCATAGCCATGAATGGCCTCATTATTTTCATCACCTGGACAGACCCCAGGCTCAACAGCCCTATGTACTTCTTCCTTGGCCATTTGTCCTTCCTAGATGTCTGTTTCATCACCACCACCATCCCACAGATGCTGATCCACCTGGTGGTCAAGAACCATACTGTCTCCTTCACCTCCTGCTTGGCACAGATGTACCTGGTTTTTGGTGTGGGTGTGGCTGAGTGCATCCTCTTGGCTTTCATGGCCTATGACCGCTATGTTGCCATCTGTCACCCACTTAGCTATGCCCAGATCATGAGCCGGCAGGTCTGTGTGAGGCTGGTAGGAACTGCCTGGTTCTTTGGGCTGATCAATGGCATCCTGCTTGATTATATGACCTTTCGTGGTCCATTCTGTAGAGAAAACCATATAGAAAACTTCTTCTGTGAAGCCCCCATAGTGATCACCATCTCTTGTGGGGATGCCCAGTTTAGCCTGATGGTGATCTTTGCTGATGCCATTGTGGTGCTGCTTAGCCCCATGGTGCTCATTGTCATCTCCTATGCCCGAATCCTGGCCTCCATCCTAGGTAGAGCCTCCTCCTTTGGTCGGGGGAAGACCTTCTCCACTTGTGCCTCCCACCTGACTGTGGTCATCTTCTTCTATACCTCGGCCATGTTCTCTTACATGAACCCCCGCAGCACACATGGGCCTGACAAGGACAAGCCTTTCTCTCTCCTGTACACCATCATCACCCCCATGTGCAACCCCATTATCTACAGTTTTCGCAACAAGGAAATGAAGGGGGCCATGGTGAGAGCTCTGGGGAGGACCAGCCTGGCCCAGGCAGAGCTTGTCTAGCAAGAAGAAAGGGTCCTGGAAGGCAAGCTCCTTCCCTAAGGTATGGCCCCTATCCCAGTACTAGCAGGTGAGTAACTCTCCAATGCTAGAAGTCTCCAGGCAAGAACATTCATGGCTTCCTTTGTTCCAGCAACAGATCTGGAAGTGCCCTTTGATGTATAATTCTCATCTTTCTGACTTCATTTCAAGCATAGATTGAGTGTTCCAGTCTTCTTTTAATAATATATTTTCATGATTATTGTGATAAGTACATTGAATTGTAGCATTTTATTTCAAAATTTGGACAAAAGAAGGCTGTTTCTCAAGAAAAGGCCATTGAAAAGGATGACTAGATCATTTTTTTCTACAAGATTGCTTTGCAAGACTGAAGTCAACTATTGAGAACTCTGGTTTTGGGAAAAGAGACTAGAACCACAAAGGAAATAACAAGATTATAAAATTCAGGATAAAAGCAATGGGCTGGAAACAAATACTGTGAGATGTGTGATATCAACCCTATATAATGGACCCATATTCTACAAAAAAGCTCCCAAATTCAGCAAGGGGAGGAGTTGTATGCCAAATATGTGTGAATGAATAGGGAGGAGAAAGGTCAGAAGCTAGAGAAGAGTGTATGAGGAGAGCGCTAACTTCTCAAGCTTAAAAATTGGAGGTGGAAGCTATAACAAAATCCTCTGGGATCAAGCTTCCAGTGACACCTGCAATGTAAAAGAATGTAACATGAGTGCTTTATATTGTTCGTACTTGTATTTATTTCCATTTAAATATTTTGTCACTAGCCTGAATGCAAGTGGTATAATTTAAATGTTATTTGGTGTAATTAAGTAGGTTCTGACTCATAACAATCCTCTGTATACAACAAAATACTGCCCATCCTGTATCATTGTCAAAACTGCTGCTATATTTAAGCCCACTGTGGCAACTATTATGTCAATCCATCTTGTTAAGTGTCTTTCTCTTTTTCACTTTCCCTTTACTTTACCAAGCATAACATCCTTCTTCAGGGACTGGTCCCTAATGATGACATGTGCAAAGCGTATGAAACCAAGTCTCAATCATCCTCACTTCCAAAGAGCATTCTGCCTGTACTTCTTCCAAGACAAATTTGTTAATTCTTCTGGAAGTCCATGACATATTCAATATTCTTCACCAACACTATAATTCAAATTTTTCTCTTATCTTTCTTATTCATTGTCAATGTCCTTATCTTTCATCATATGCATATGTGGCCATTGGAAATACAGTGGCTTGGTTCAAGTGTACCTTAGTCTTCAAAGTGACACCTTTGCTTTTTGATCCTTTAAAGAAGTTTTTTGCATGATTTCTTGACTCCTGCTTCCATGGGCACTGATTATAGATCCAAGTAAAATGAAATCCTTGACAACTTCAATCTTTTTTCTGATTATCATATTGCTTATTTATCTAGTTGTTTTTTTTGTTGTTGTTGTTGAGGTGCAATTCATATTAAATTCTGTATTCATATTAAAGTCTGTAGTCTTTAATCTTCGTTAGTGCTTCAAGTCCTTGTTGCTTTCAGCAAGATTGTGTCATCTGCATATGGCAGGTTGTTAGAGAATCTTCCTTCATTTCTGATGCCACATTATTCTTCATATAGTTCAGCTTCTTGGATTGTTTGTTCAGCATACAGATTGAATAAATATGGTGAAAGGATACAACCCTGATGCACATGTTTTCCACATTTTAAGCAATGTGCTAGCCCACTATCCTAAGACCAAGAAATGACCAAGAAACAATTGTCTCTTGGTCTGTGTACAGGTTCCGCATGTGCACAATGAAGTGTTTTGTAATTCCCATTCTTTGCAATGCTATCTAGAGTTTGTTATAATCCATACAGTCGAATATCTTTGCATCATGAATAAACCACAAGTAAATATCTTTCTGGTATTCTCTACTTTCAGCCAAGATCCATCTAACATCAGTAATGATATTCTTCATTCCATATCCTCTTCGAAATCAGGCCTGAATGTCAGTCAGTTCTCTAGCCAGGTAGTGCTGCAGCCATTTTTCAATTACCTTCACCAATATTTTACTTGTGTGTAATTTATTGATATCGTTCAATAATTCTCATATCCTTTTGGGTCACTTTTCTTTGGAATGGGCACAAATATGGATCTCATCCAGTCAATTGGCCAGTAGCATTCTTCCAAACTTCTTGGCAAGAACACGTGAGTGCTTCCAGTATTGCATCTATTTGTTGAAACATCTCAATTGGTAGTCCATCAATTCTTGGAACCTTGTTTTTCACCAATATCTTCAGTACAGCTCAGCTGTCTCCCCTCAATGCCATTGGTTTTTAATCATATACTATCTCCTGAAATGATTAAACATTAACCAATTATTTTGTGTACAACGACTTTGTGTATTCTTTTCATCTTCTTTTGATAATTCCTACAGCATTCAATATTTTACTGGTAGAATAAACAAACTATGGTGCATACACATAGTGGAATACTACACAACATTAAGAATAATGATAGCATCTGTAAAACACCTCATATCATGGATGAGCTTGGAGGTCGTCATGCTGAGTGAAATAAGCCAATCATAAATGGAAAAATATTGTATGAAACCACTAATATAAAAGTCAAGAAAATGTTTACACACCAAAGGAAACATTCTTTGAAGGTTACCAGGGAAGGGAGGATGTGGGAGGGTAAATCACTAGATGGTAGACATGGATTAGCTTAGTAGAAGGGAAGGTAATATACAGTAAGAAGGAGATCAGCACAAAATGATCAACACAAATTAAGATCCTGAGAGGGGTACAAGAGTTAAAGGTAACAAAGGTGAATATTATTGCATAAATATTCTTGTAATAATAGTAATAATCTGTAAGTGGGTTCATAAATTGTTGTTGATAAGTGATGTCAAGTCAACTCCAATCCATAGTGACCCTGTATAGGGTTTCCAAGGAGCAATTGGTGAGCTTGAACCACCAACCATGCAGTTCAAACTGACCTTGGGGTCCATCACATTAACCCACAGTACCACACCAGGACTCCACAGTAAAGTATATGATATGAAAAAATATTGAATTAAGGATACAAGAAATGATCATTATGTCAGCAAAAACTTTAATTAGAAAATCAATTCAAAATAAAATTGGATAATAAGTGGATAAGAAGGAAACATTCCCAGATATGAAGTTGAAAGCCCAGGGACCATGATACCTGTCAGGACCCCTTATCTACCAAGTAATCTAATAAAAACAACCTAACTTTCCTGTGAAAAATTGGGAATAATCCAGTTCTTCCAGGACCATTAGCCATAGACATGGACTCCCAAAGGACCCTTGGAATAGACTAGTCCAAGACTCCCTCCAGGGGACAGTTAGAATGATCAGGCTTCAAGAATAGATTGTTGGGGGACTTAAGGTGAGACGATGGACAAGGCAGATGCACTACATGGACCATCTACAACAAAGATATGAGAAACCAAATGAAACAGACACAGTGGAAATCCTGGAATCCTGACCTTCAGAGGAAAAATTAGAGAAGTGGATTGAGCACTTGTTGGGAGGAGAAGCTGAGTAGGGTTGTTGAGAGGGGTAGACTGACCAGACATAGCGCAACCATTTTGTGAGCAGTTTTGGCAATAGAAGGTGGTCTGGAAGAGCAGATTCACACAGGAAATGGGAAGTTGTGACTTCTTATTTTTCCCACACACCCTCATCCATCTCCACTGCAGAGTTTGGAGCTCAGTACAGAGTCTGGAACTATGTCATTGGAAGCTATGCAAGTGTGAGATAGAGGCCAGCTACACTGTTTGGCACCTGGAGTCAGAAGATCTTAGTTCCAGACCTACAAAACTCACAGAGCCACCAGACCAACATTTAGCCAGTCACCCTGCCCCCAGCTGCCCTATGGTCTTAACAGACACTGAAACCAGCTCCATCAAGGGTCTCCATGAGCTACTTCCAGATTGAGTGCTCTGAACATAGATAACACCAAGACAGATAGGAAATCCATTTAGGACCAGGAACTCTGATGTCATATCCCTCCCACACCCACTTCATGAGCTCCAGGCTTGCAGGAACCCCCACAGATTTTTCTTCTCTCCATGTCCAACAGCTGTACTGATTTTTTGTTTTGGTTTTGGGGTTTGGTGCTTTCCTTTTGTTGTTTCGTTACTTTTGTTTGATTGTGTTTTTTTATCCTCCTTCTTCTCTTTCCATTCCCTTGAATTTTACTCTATGTCTGCATTTGTTTTTCCTTCTTTCTTGTTTCTTATTCCCCCTCCTTTTTTCCCTTTTGATCTTTCTTTTCTACTCTCTAATCTTTTTCATCTTCCTTCTCCCAAAACTTTTTCTAAGTTTTGCTTTATTTCTTCTTTTTATTTTCTCTGTTATTTTTATCTTCTATACCTCCATTTCTCTCTCCCTCTTTTGTCTTTATAATTATGCTTTTTTCCTTTTTTTTTCAGTTGCTGCCTGTTTTTCTCCTGTATCATTTTCTCTTTTCTTTGTTGGTTCCTTGTTTGTTTGCTCATTTTGTTTTCTTGTGTGTGTCTGTGGGAGAGGTTTTCTCTTTCACATCCAACAGGAGACAGCAACAGTGCTCATATAACCCAACCATAATTGGACTCTCTGCAGCTCCACCTGCTGGGCAAGACCCAGTACCAGTTCCTATACCACCTG